CGTTGACGACGTCGTCGTCGTCTTCGTCGTCGTCGGCGTCGGCGTCGTTGTCGTCGTCGAAGTCGTCGGAAACGTCGTCGGTGTCGTCGTAGTTGCCGTCGTCGTCGTCGTCGTCGTCGTCATCGGCGTCGTTGACGTCGTCGTCGTCGTCGGTGTCGTCGTTGTCGTCGTCGAAGTCGTTGGAGACGTCGTCGGGGTCGTCGTAGTCGGTGTCGGCGGCGCCGTAGTCGTGGTTGTCGCTGTCGTCGTCGGCGTCGGTGTCGTGGCCAAGTGTCATGTGGTACGTACCGTCACGGTCTTGTCTTAAGAGGTCTTGCGACCAAGTTGCGGGTGGGAGGGTGGGATGGTTGCACGAGCAGTGGAGAGGACAGCTTCAAGACGGTCAAAGATTAATTGCACCACTTAGATTGCAGACCACATGGATGGATTGGCCCACATATATTGCACCACACAGATTGCAAAACCTGGATTGCACAACAGATGTTGCACAACTTAGATGGCGCCACAGATTGCCCCGCCAAGATTGCACGACATTCATTGCACAACATATGTTGCACAACATAGGTGTAACACCATAGATTGCACCACGTATATTGCACCACGCATTTTGCTCCACAGAGATTGCACCATATCTATTGCTAGCAACGCACTGTTTCGGGTCCACGCTGGCTAACCAATGTGTATACAAGCCTGCGCGACACATGTGTCGATACAGCTGGCTCCTCCTCCCCCTCCCTCCCCCTCTCGCACTCCTCCTCCTCTTCCCTCCTCCCTCCTCCAGCTCCTCCTCGTCCTGCTCCACCTCTTCCTCTCCTCCTCTTCCCCTTAGTGTTTCTGCATCGGTCTCATGTTGGCCCTTGCCAACATGGCAGTGCACGGCCATCGCGCCAGTGCTCCCACAACACCATCGCTGCCAAACCTGAATGACTTCAACCCCGATCGTCATGTATGTTATGTTTTGGGGGATGGGAGGCACATTATCGATCGGCGTGCAGACATTAAGCACGATAGCTCCAGAAGGCTCTCGTGCCTGTGCCAGCTCAGTGAAGACGCCCAGTCATGCGCAAGCAGGCGTGAGGCAAAAACAACACGATCTAAATTGCTTGGACCTGTCGTGATGACGGGGACGCTGGCGAAACAGCGCCGTCGCGCTCAAACGACAACCTGTGACGCCCACGGTCAGAGTCTCCCACGGCCACTGATGGATGTATGCGAGAGACTTGCGCGCTCGGGACAAAGCAGACGAAACAACTATATAAACATAAAATGCTCGGGCGTCCGCGCGGATGTTTTGGATGAACGCTGTGCCCCCTCCCTGGAGGCGCAGAGATCGGCACAGAGCTCCGAACGTTCATGTTGATGATGCTCCTTCTTGTTCGACAGAAATATTACGTACGATGGCGAGATGCCTGGGGGGAGCAGACACGAAGCAAGATCCTCGACGACGATCGAAAACGTCCTCGATCGTCCACCCAGTGCTCCTCTGAAATGTCACTCTGCACTGGGGCCCGCTGCCAACTCCCTCCCTCGCCCGAGGAACGGCAAAAAGCATAGAAGCATCAATCTCGGGGGGAGGCGGAGGAGGAGGAGGAGGAGGAGGAGGAGGCGGAGGCGGAGGAGGAGGGAGAGGGGAAGGAGGAG